AGAAATACATTTTGCCAAAATATTTATGCCTGAATAAGATTTATATATTAATTGCATATCAAATTTCCATTCATTTTATTTGTTTGTTTGTTTATTTGTTTATTTCGATCCCCATTAGCCACTACCAAGCTAGTGGCTATTCTTCCATTTGGATTATTTAGTTTTAATATAAACTAATTAACTCCTATTTGCAGCTATTAAAATTAATTGAGCACAAAAACAAATAACAATCCATAGAAAACAGGGGCTAAACACAGGAACAAGGAAGTAAATACAAAACTAAAAGTCCAGGAAACAAAACAGAAACCGTTACAGTAACGGGTAACACCTGTAATAGTACAAAACTGAATGTGTAAATATACAGTGACCATGTAACTGAATAAATTTATTGTTTTCACAATGAACAGATCTGTGCTGATTCTAAGCAATTTGAATAAATACATTTTGAGAATATAATTATTGAAATAAAATCAAATAGATGCAAATAGTAAATAATAAAATGTATTATTTTTTGCTTATTATTTATTTTATTTTGCTCTAAATTATGTATATTCATAATACTCAGACTATTACAAATAATATTACAAAATGTTAATATCCAAATAGTCTAAGTTGGTTATTTGTTTGTTTGTTGAAGGCAAAGCTTACTATAATTATTAGTTACTGACACAGTTTACCCCATTTTTTGGTAAATCCTGTAGCCAAATTATTTATTCATTGATTTTACATTGGAAATTCACCAACATGCATAGTTTGTTTAAATATCAAATTAATTTTAATTACATGATGTAGATATTTATTTTACATGTATATAATTTAATTTGACATCTACATGAAAACAATGGTATAGAAAGCATAGCAAATAAGCAAAGTGAAGCATTTGGTATAAACATGCTTAGCTCTTCGCTCAAGTGCATCTTTTGATTTCAAAACATGATCACATTCCAAAAAAAATGATATGTACAATTTGCTAGATTAAAGGGGCAATGTATCCTAACACTGACACATTTGTCTCTCCCTCTATGTTCTTGTTCTCCTACAAAAAGTAAGAGAACTGATTAGAATGTTTAGGTTGGAGAAACTTAGCAGAGATTCAAAATATCAGGACAGGACAGGAGTGGTTTGTTTTTGATCCATGTGACTAAGTAGATTGCATGAGAAAGCTTGGGCAACTACAGATATTTTACTGTTTAAGTATGTGTGCATTTGTTTGTGTAACCGGGTGGTAAATAACCTTAAAATTTGTTTCTCTCCTTGCATGTAAAAAAAAACTATTATTTTATTGTCCTTTACTATGTTCAGTGAATTATAAAGACATGAAAAACAGTGGTTGCCTGCATTTTCCTTGAGTCGTCAGCAGGTGGCACTGTGTGTGTTGCGTATGAGACAGTACGCATGCGCTCTCACCCTCGGACATTTGGGTAAGACGTGCAGCGAGACACGCACTATCGGGAAATTGTGGAGTTTTTGTGATCATCCATGGACAGTGTACAACAATGTTGAGGATTTCAGCCTTTGTTGAGTGAACGTGAGGTGTTATGTAGGAGCTCATTCTGATTATTCCCACTGCAGTATTGTATGGTAACATTGTGATATCGTGTTACATTACTCGGATTTTGGATTTTCCATCTTTTTGCACTGAGATTTTTGTATTTGGTTTTTTGCATTTTGAAAATTGCATTCTGAGTAATGTAGAGCTGTGAGGAGGTTTAATTGGTATCACCAGCTCTGTGAAAGCTCTCATTTTGTTTATCTAAATTTTATTTTGCTACTTCATCTTTTCCTGTTCATTTTGTGAACCTTCTTGTCAATTAAAGTGAGAAGACACATTTGATAGTAAAACGTTAACTGAATAAACTTAAAGTAAATAGAACCCCTCAACGTGTTCCTGGTGGTAAATTTAAATCCCCGGTCACATTTGCATTAGTTATCTCATTTTTATTAGGTGTCCCATAGTGCCTATTTGCTACTGTGAGCCTTTGGGCTCTTAACAGTTGTCCCTTGAATCCTTCATATTTGAGCTCAGAGGAGAGGCAACAGGAAGCATGGGAATCATTAAGACTTAATGCAGCTCTCTGAATGGTATTAAGCTTCAGGCAACTCATTTCAACCGCTGCCTGTGCAATGAACAGATACTGAGTTCGTGTGACCGTTGCATTGTATGAAAGTCTTGGTCTTGAATTAAAGGTTGATATTCATAAAGCGTTTCTTTCTCTGCATAATTCTGATTTTGTAAAATCCATGACCGTCATTAAAAGTTAAAAACTGTTAGAGGAGAACGAGGTCATGAGAATATTGAGAACCTTTGAATGTGATTGATTTAAGAGGAAAAATACAAAAGAACAGCTTAATTTGACACTGAAGTGCTCTGTTTGGTTTAGAGTTAATAGGAATCAGTGCTTAACTGATTAATATATTACTTTTGTAAAACGTTATTTCTTAGGAATTGTGAAGGAGAATTGTTCCGAATATTTGAAATATTTTAAATCCAAAAAGTAAAAATAAATAAATAACACTAGCATCTCTTTACAGTTAAACTGAATTTAAACTGAAGCTGTCAAGCAATGGTGAAAAAGCACTAAAAGATCATAAAAATAGTCCACATGAATTGTGCACTATATTCCAAGTCCTTTCAACCTACTATAGCAAATTGTGTGACAAACATAATTTAAGTTGTTATTCACTGACAGTCTTTTGAGCACTGAAAAAAAATTACTAGTAAACTTCACAAATAATGGCAAGTAACACAGTGAATTTAAGGAACAACAGATCACCCAAAAATTAAAATCTACTCCCCTCAAACCATCCAAAATGTAGATGAGTTTGTTTCTTCATGGGAACAGATTTGGAGAAATTTAGCAATACATCACTTGCTCACCAGTGGATCCTCTGCAGTGAATGGGTGCCGTCAGAATGAGAGTCCAAACAGCTGATATAAACATCACAATAATCCACAAGTAATCCACGCCACTCCAGTCCATCAATTAACGTCTTGTGAAGTGAAAAGCTCAGTGTTTGTAGGAAACAAATTCATCATTAATGTGTTTTAACTTTAAACCGTTGCTTCTAGCCAATTTAATCTTAATGATGAATGTGTTTCTTACAAACATCACTTCTCAAGATGTTAATTGATGGACTGGAGCTGTGTGGATTACTTGTGGATTATTGTGATGTTTATATCAGCTGTTTGGACTCTTATTCTGACGGCACCAATTCACTGCTAAATTTCTTCAAATCTGTTCTGAAGAAGAAACAAACTCATCTACAACTTGGATGGCCTTACTCTGAGAATGAGTCAATTTTCATTTTTTTGGGTGCACTATCCCTTTAAATGTGAAATATTTAAGTAGAATGACTGAAGTTGTTTTCTTCTAAAACATACTCCAATAATCTTTATTGGCTAACACTGGCACATTTACAGACATGTTGAATAATGTGTGTTGTCCTTTAAAAAAAATGTCATTTATGTCAAACTTCATTTATTATTATTTATTTTTTTATTTTTTTTCATTTTTTACAGTGTCCTAAATATACCTCAGTCCTACTTGAGTGAATTTTTTCTACAAGAGCAGTTTGTGCTTCCTGAAAATGGTTTGAATATGTAGTAGATATAGATTAAAAAGTGTCCAGCCATGACTGAAATGACACTTACTATATATATATATATACTGTATATATCCACTCATGATGGTTCACTGGTAGCCACTCATACACAGTTAAGTTTGTCATCCTTCTTCATTCCCCGCATCTCTGCCTCCATCATTCCTTGTTCTCTTCTGTCAGTAGTTGCCATAGTGAAACAGAACAAGGATCTGTCTTTGTATGTGTGAAGCGTGCAGCTTGTAAGGGTGTAACACCTCAAACCACAGCATAGACAGGTGTGCATGTCAGGCTGAATAGAGAGGAGAGGAATTGGCCATATCTGGGTTCTTTGTGATATTTTTACCCTGGTGGTGAGAGTCTTTTCATCTCGGCTCAGTGGAGGCTGTCAGACTCTTTACTGCCCCATGCAGGTTTTGATCAGCCCTGAAACAGATCAGACACGTCTCTGGAAATAGCCATAATTGTTATTCACTGTTGTTCATGTTCTCGCTTTAATCGTCAGCATGCAACCTGTTAGACACTTTGTTGTGAGGAATATGCAAATGACAGCTCTGCTTTGTGAATTACTAAAAAGGACCATTTTTAGGGCCAAGGGCCATTAGACACGGTTTTGTACTGTGAATAATTTTCAGTGAATAGTCAAATTTGATTTATTAACACAGGTGTGAAATATAAAATAGTTTTTTAAAATGCAATTTTTTTAAAACATGGTTTATGGCTCAAATCTTCCAAATAAAGAAGTAGAAAGCCCCAGGGATGCTCGTATAGCCATAGGGAGATAATTTGGTTTAGAGCTATATTTCTAGCTTTTGTTATGAAAAAATGCAGGTTAAAATGTAACTTACCAAGCAATTTAATAATAATAATTATAATAATAATAAAAGTAGTAGTAGTAGTAGTAGTAGTAGTAAATAGTGAATAGAAAATAGAGTAGTGAAAGTAAATAGTGTCATCTACATCAGTAATGCAAGTCAATGCACTTACTGTAGCCATATGAGGTCTGTCCTTTTTCTGGACAAAAGTTAAGTAAAATAAATTTTTGGTGTCATATTGTTAAGTTTTTTGTGTCATTAATGTCATATTATTATATGCAATACATCTAATCAAATCAAAATGTATAGGTCCATTGCATGGTTCATGGTTCTTCTATGGCATCGCTGTGAAAACCCCTTTTGGATATTTTATTATTAAGAGTGCAGGCTAAGGATAAAGCAGTCTAAGTGCACTTCTCGATTGTATCTCAAGCTGCAATTGTGCCTAGCAGTGATTTCAGTGAGACTCTTGTAAGATGTCTATAAAACCAGACCAGGATGCACATCAGAGTGCTACTGATGTAGAAGAGGGAATCATTCGGCTGCATGATCATCTGTCTGACATCTTCTCTTCTCCTTCATCAGATCCCTGTGATGACAGGAGCCTTCATGGACTCATCGCCTCACGATGACTACAGCACGGATCACTCTCTCTTCAACTCCTCTGCTAGTGTCCACGCCGCAGCTCTGGCAGCTCACAACCAACAGGAGGAGCAGCAGCCCATGTCCCGAGACGCCATCTGGCTGTGGCTCGCCATCACCGCCACCATTGGGAACATCATAGTGGTGGGCGTCGTCTACGCCTTCACGTTCTGACCTCTGGAATGAAACCAGCTGAACTTTGGAGACATATTCGGCTTTGAGTCCCTCAAATATAGGACCCCTCATCGGACGAACAGTGTCTGAAAAAAATCTGCACGTTTTTTGTTGTTTATTTGTTTGGTTTTTACGTAGAACGGTTCCAGAAATTATTTTTGATTCATTGTCATTTTCATGTTGAAAACTTTGTAACTAGATTGTTTATTGCTAAACAAGTGTAACGTGAGGAAAAATCACAGATTTCATTTGTATTTATTTTTTTCTGAGTGACTAATACTGCCAGACTTTTGCCAAATAATTTGTACGTTTTTGCTTTTAGTATCTAATGGCAAATGTTGTTATTAAGCTTTAAATGTCTAGGGGGCAAACACTACTCTCTGAAAGTCATCCAACAACCTTTTTAAAGCAGCGATTAGAAAGTTGAATCCCAAACCCATTTTGGAAAGGTAACCATAAAATAATGTAAATATAGGAAGTGCAGTATAAGTGCCCAGAACAGGAAACTAAACACTTTTTTATTAAAGTATTTTAACCTTGGTCAGAAACAGAGATAATAAGCGATAAAAGCACTTAAAATCTTTTTTATGCATGGGGCATTTATACTCATTGGTTGATTTATTATTATTTTTTTTTTGTCTTTTATTTCACCCCAGCATATGACAATTTGGAGACAATCTCTTCTCTTAATTCTTCACATGGTAAAACCACCACTTTAGTTGATGAAAGGTTCAGTTTAACATTTAAGAAATGCACCACAAAATGATTTTAATTAAAACCTGCATACCAGTGAATGATTTTATACCAATAAATCATTTCATCCCCTTAGTTGAGGGTGACAGGTCCAGCTTGTATTTAGTAGAGGTCAAAGCTTTGCTTTTAATGAGCTCATGCAGTGAATGGGTGCCGTCAGAATGAGAGTCCAAACAGTTGATAAAAACATCACAATAATCCACAAGTAGTCCACACTACTCCAGTACATTAATTAACATCTTGTTTCTGAAAAACAAATTCATGATTAAAAAATTTTTAACTTCAAAATGTTGCTTCCGGCTAAAATACGAGTCATCTATCCATAATATTGTTTTCTCCAGAAAAAAAATGTGGACCTATGTCTGCCAAGGAACTGTCGTGTCTGAATCAGGAGAGAAATATGCACAGATCAAACACCATTAACAAGCAAAAAACAGTCCAAAACAGTTCCAAACATATATGCTGTGGATTGTTATGTGAGAAGACAACAGGGAATGGACTTTCACTAGAGAAAGCATTACTATGGATTATGAATTGGTCATGTGGATTATTGTGACGTTTTTTATCAGCTGTTTGGTCTCATTCAGACGGCACCCATTCACTGCAGAGGATCCATTTGTAATGTAATTCTAAATTTCTCCAAATTTGTTCTGATGAAGAAACAAACTCCTCTTGGATGGCCTGAGGGTGAATATATTTTCAGCACAATTTCATTTGTGGATGAAATGTTCCTTTAAGCCAGTTAAGCAGATTGATGGAGACACCGGCATCCCACCATATGATAATGCTGGTCTTTTCAGTAGGGAACAGGAGGAACACTTTTTTTTTTTCAAAGATCTATCAGTTCTGTTTTAATTCTAACCATGCAACTGCCAATTGTTTTACGAGACTACTGTAAGTCTTCAGATGTCCTTAAAGGTCTTTGACCAACTAAAAACTAAAAAAGAAGAAGAAAAAAAGAAGGTTTAGAAGTTATTTCATACTAGCTGGATTTTACAAACCAATCATTTTCACTGCAATACTTGAAGGACAATTACTAATTGAATCGGTATCAACCACACAGTTTTCAGACTGTGACGGTCACTGTATTGATCTGATCAGTGGACTTCGGACCTTGTTTAGGCTGACTGGTATAATGAACCGGTTTTAGCTATGATTCAGTGGGATGAAATGGACTGGGACCAAGCCGAGATGATCATCTATCATCTTCTCTGCAATGGATTGCACTAGGAAATGGAGTTGAATATATCCTGAACAGGAAAATGTCCTTCACTTTATCAATGACTTTGATTTATGGACTGGAAGGTCTAACGTCGGTATGTAAAAATACTTAACAGATAAACTCTAACTGCCACAATGGAGTTTGATGAAGAGCTGATGGTTAATTACGGCTTATAATACACTCTAATTGGAAATACTATTGAAATGTCCTTCAAAGTCTCTTTTCGATTAAGGGAATAAACTGCAGTTTGCTGGTACCATTGCAGTTCCTAATAGAGGAACATCTGTTTTTTAGACCAGCTCAAATCACAATCTTCAAACCACAGTAAACCTTATTTTAGAAGTGTGCTGCGAAATAACAAACGATGTTCTGCTCAGCAAACAATGTAGATATTAAGATTCTTAGTCAAAGTCCTGTCTGTTGATGTTGAGAGGTCTTTATAGAGGCCTAAAATCTATTGTAGAAAATGAACACTGGTGTGTTCAGCTCAATTCTGCTTCACTTGCACTTGCACTGTAACATGTTTCTTTTTGTATTGAAAACCACTGTTGAATTAAAAGACTGTCATAAACTTATAATAACAAATCTGCTTGTCTTTTTCTGACGGTGATGCTGATCAAAGCAAAACCTTGTCCCTTTAACCTGAATATTTTCTTGTCACTATAGATAGGCTACTACTGTACCACAAATCCCTGAAACTTGCTTTGAGTTTGAAAACCCTTCATAAGCACCACTGAAATATTTAATATCAGAGTATTAACTATTGAAAAATGGTGTTGTATAAAAACATCTGGAACACATGGAAAATATGGTTAATCAGTTTAGTGTATATATACTGTACATCCAGTCTTGAGTATCTTCATAAAAGTAAACATATTTTAAGTTCTGTTTAAAAATTAATAAAAAATGCAGTTCTAAACAGATTAGCCTATACTGTTTCAAAATATGTTAAACCCACTTTCAGCAATTGTAAATTTTGCAATAAAAAGTACATTTGTAAATTCTTTAGTTGGGTCATATGGGTCATTTAATGAAAAGTGATTATTTTCTCAATCTTTTAAAATAAAATTTCAGAATCTCAAATCTCCTACTTTAACCCAAAGCAGCATTTATTGTAAGTAAGTTGCAAAAATGCGTCTCTCTGAAATGTTGCTGTGATTAATAGAATTAATGGTAACACTTTATTTTAGGGTCTCTTAACTAGCTGCTTATTAGCATGCATATTACTAGAATATTAGCCATTTATTAGTAGTAATTAAGCACATATCAATGCCTTATTCTACATGACCTTATTCTACATCCCTAATCTGTAGGGATAACTGTAGATAACTGTAGGATGGCGGCGCGTTCACACGCTGCGGCTTCTCTCTCTCCCGACAGAAAGGTGTTTTCGTGTTTTTTGTCTTGTGAGTCGCAGTGTTTTTGTACGTATTCGTCGCGTCTATCTGTCTCTAAGCGCGCATACAGTCGTGAGTTTCTGCTCGATGTCGGCAGAAC